GATCCCGAAATAGCTATATGCACTACATGAATAGCTAGGTTTCTTAATTTGTAATTTTTTTTTATAATTAGGTCGATTTGCATATCATGAATTCTGCAGGAATCATTTGATTATATGTATTTTAATGTTTGTCACAGCAAGTTTAATGTTATGCCCATATGGTTGCTTGGTCCCTGTGGCCTGCCATGCTTTTCAAGCTTCTGGATTTCCAGTACCATTGGGTCTTCGTGCTCATTGTACAAGATCTTTGGCCTCTTGTTAGGCAGCGGCAGCTAATGTTTCCCCTTACTGCACTTGTTTGGTAGCAAATTTGCCCTCATTTAACACCTTTATTATTCATTCCCATTTGGATGTGGCTAGATCTTCTAGCTCATCCTTTGGCAAAATTGTCCTTTCTGCTGCCTTATAAATGAGATTTCTCAAATTATTTGCATCATAATTTTCATTTGTTGGTTTTCTTTTGTTCTCTCTTAATTATGTCTTTAGCTTGGGTTTTCTCCATCTGCCGTGCTGGATATATCCAGGAAAAGAGAAACTTTATTCCATACTTACCGATTTTATCTTTTTCCAGATATAGGCTTACGCTCCAGCCTTTAATTTGGTTCTGTGGCTTGGGGACTAACACTGGATACAGGGGATGGAGACTCTTTTTATTATTTAATTAGGCTTTCCTTTGTTTCTCAATGAGCTGTTATAGAAGGAGCTTTTGTTAAAGGGAAACTACAGTGCCAGGAAAACAAACTTGTTTTCCTGCCACCATAGCTTCATCTTCTGTTAAGGCTCACCCTCGTGGTGCAGAAGGGGTTAATAACTTTCTGTCGCTTACCTTGATCCAGTGCCGATGTCCCTTGGCACTGGCTCAGCTCCACCCAGGCTCCTCCCCCGCCACCAGGGAAGACCTAATGCGCATGCTCAGCAATGGCAATGATATTATCAGTATAATACATTTTACTGCTCTAAAACACTAATTTGTGTAGAGTAATGTCTCACGAGTACAACAGTACCCCTCAAGTACAGGTTTTATGGTGATTTGGAAAGTTACAGGGTCAAACATAAGATTTGCCAATTTCTGTTTTTGCTAATTGCTATTTGCCAGATTGGCTATGTTGCCTTGGAGATGGTATGGCAGCCCAGAAATTAAAATTAACCCCACCATGACATACTATTTGAAAAAGTAGACAACCCAGGGAATTCAAAATGAGGTATGTACAGTCCTTTGTAGTAGCCACTTAGTCAAAAACGCTGGCCAAATTAAGCGTTTTTATTTGTTTTTTGCATTTTTTAAAACAAAAACTGCACTTCACTGATTTCATCGTTGTGATAAGTTTTACTCTTTTTAAAACACTTATATTTGTATTCAGCGAAGTCTCCGGAGTATAACAATACCACCATGTGCAGGTTTTATGGTGTTTTGGAAAGGTACAGGGTCAATATAGGGCTTGCCCAATTCAGTATGCTGGGTCTGTGTTACCTTTTGAGACCATATGGTAGCTCAGGAATGTGAAATAACCCCATCATGGCATACAATTTTCAAATGTAGACAACCCAGGGTATTCAAAATGGGGTATTTCCAGTCTTTTGTAGTAGCCACTTAGCCACAAACGCTGGCCAAGTTAAGCTTTTCTTTTTTTTTGTATTTTTTTAAACAAAAACTGATTTCATCATTGTGATAAGTTTTACTTTTTTTTTTTTTTTTTAAAACACTCATGTGTTCAGTGAAGTCTCCCGAGTATAACAATGCCCCCCATGTAAAGGTTTTATAGTGTTTTGGAATGTTACAGGGTTAAATATAGGGCTTGCCAATTAAATTCTCTGGCCTGTCTGCCTGGGTTGTCCGTCAGGTCCCTCAAATTATAATGAATAAAATCAAATAATTATGTAGTTAATAGTTACATATATATGTAAAATGTGTGTATGTATATATCTAAATATATAAACAATATATTTTTTAAAACGTATATTAGATACATGTGTGTGTATATAACACAAAACAAAAAAATATAGTCTTGCACTCCAATTACTGGTGTCTCTGCTCAGTGCTTATCAGCATAGTATAACAAATTACGTAAAGCTAGCACTCCCAGGACTCCAAAGGTGTAAAAATAAAATTTTACTTTTATTTTCCAAATTTAAAAGATCAACGTTTCAGTTTGTCACCCAAACTTTCATCATAGTCCAGAGAGCGTAGCAGGAACAGCTCTTATAAAAGCTAGTGATTTATACTCAGGGGAGTTTTGTGATATAGCAATCCCCAGAGTTAATGTAATTCTCAATCCCTCAAACATGAGCCAAGACTTCATGAAGGGGTAAACAAATCTCAGTTTAACCCCTTAAGGACGGAGGGCGTACTATTACGCCCTGCAGGAGCCGGCTCTAAACGCTGGCGGGCGTAATAGTACGCCCTCACTTTAATGGCCGCCCATGTGGCCGGCGCTAGTTGCCCGCTGCAGATCCCCCTGGGGTCAGTGACCGCGATCTGCACTGTCTGAGATCGCAGTGACAGGCTGTCACTGCGATCTCAGAGTGCTCTGATCGCAGTGACAGCCTGTCACTGCGATCAGTGTTACATGTGTCACAGTCACTGTGATCACTGATCCTGTGTGTCAGCCAGTGATGTAAAATCACTGGCTGACACTGTCTCTGCCCCCTCTCCTGTAAAAAAATAAAATATTAGTTAAAAAAAATAAATTACAGTTACATATAAAATATACTTAGATCATATATATTATATATATGATCTAAGTATATATATATATATATATATATATATATATACACATACATACATATACATACACACACACACACACACGGTGTAGTTGATTTACTGCAAACCAATTAGTTTGAATGACTATCTGTTCCTGTCCAAATTAAAGATAATAAAGTTGCGTGCACGCAGAAGTAAATTCACACTGAGACACAGAGTTCAGGTTAATGAAAGAACTTCGGAGAAGTTTAATGGCTTCTGATTAAAAGGCAGGCTCGCAGGCCCTTTTAAAGGCATTATTACATCACTGAAGAATTCAAGATAACAGCAAATAGACACTATTGATTGGTCCAGGTGTTAAGTGGTTAGTTAGATACCCTCCCATCAAGAGGTGATGTCATCCTTGACACGGGAGTGGACACAAGATGTAGGCGCCATCTTGTTAGCACGAGGTGTTCACTCGATGGGAGGGGTGCTTTGGCAGCCATTTTGAGTAGTTAGTATTGTTAGCTTCAAGGTTCTTTTAGTAAATACACATTTTATTATTCAGCACATTTCTTCCTGACAAAGCATTAGCTTAGATAATTTCAAGAATTCTATAATTCTACAACACACACACACACATTTACACATACACAAAGTGTATTTAAATATTAATATATATATATATATATATATATATATATAACTATCAAATTACACGTAGACTAATACTGATTAAATATAATTATTTTTATATATATATATATATATATATATATATATATTTATATATAATATAAAAAAATGTAAATACGTAAAAAAAATAAATTAAAAATAAATAATAAAAAAATATATAGATGTTTGTTATTTCGTTCTAACTGTATTGTGATATTAATATATATTTATATCAAAATACACGTAGAACGAAATAATATATATATCTATATACATAAATATATACATATATATCACTAAATATACACCTATATATAAATAAAAATATTTAAAAAAATTATATATATATATATATATATATATATATATATATATATATATATATATATATATATATACACATATATTAATTCTACACATATATTTATGTAATATTTTTACATAATTAGGTATCCTAATTAATTACAATTAGCGGGACCTGCCTGACAACCCATGCCGAAAGTATAGGGAATTTAATTTGCTAGCACTATATTTAACCCTATAACTTTCCAAGACACCATAAAACCTGTAAATTGGGGGTACTGTTTTACTCGGGAGACTTCGCTGAACACAAATATTAGTGTTTCAAAACAGTAAAATGTATTACAACAATGATATCGCCAGTAAAAGTGAAGTTTTTTGCATTTTTCACGCACAAACAGCACTTACACGGATGATATTATTGCTGCAATACTTTTTACTGTTTTGAAACACAAATATTTGTGTTCAGCGAAGTCTCCCGAGTACAACAGTACCCCTCATGTACAGGTTTTATGGTGTTTTCAAAAGTTACAGCGTCAAATATAAGGCTTGTGTTTCATTTTTTTCACATTAAAATTCGCCAGATTGGTTACGTTGCCTTTGAGACCCTATGGTAGCCCAAGAATGAAAATTACCCTATGATGGCATACCATTTGCAATAGTAGACAACCCAAGGTATTGCAAACAGGGTATGTCCAGTCTTTTTTAGTAGCCACTTAGTCACAAACACTGGCCAAAATTGGCATTTTTTGCATTTTTCACACAAACAGATACGAACGCTAACGTTGGCCAGTGTTTGTGACCAAATGGCTACTAAAAAAGACTGGACATACCCCATTTGCAATACCTTGGGTTGTCTACTATTGCAAATGGTATGCCATTATGGGTGTAAATTTCATTCCCGGCTACTATACAGTCTCAAAGGCAACGTAACCAATCTGGCGAATTTCAATTTCAAATGTAACGTGCTATATTTGACCCTGTAACTTCCCAAAACGCCATAAAACCTGTACATAGGGGGTACTGTTTTACACGTGAGACTTTGCTGAATACAAATATGTGTATTTTATTGCAGTAAAAGCAAACAGTATTATGACATTGACAGTTAAAATGTCATGTAGAACTAAAAAAAAAAATCTTATTTTCTCCCATTTTTTTCATATTAAATTATGTTTCATAGCTAAATATTTGATATTAAATGAAAGCCCTGTTTCCCCTGAATAAAATGATATATAATAAGGGTGGGTGCATTTACTATGAAAGAGGTGAATTACGGTTGGACAGACATGTAGCGCAAATGCCAGGTTTTGTTTACATTTTGTTTCGTTCACAACGTGTACATTTGGCTCAGTCCTTAAGGGGTTAATGGGAGCCACACTTGGCCTTATATGACAATCCTCATGCAAGGGGTACCCCCAAACGGACCTGATGATAGACTGATTTGCAACTTCAAAGACCAATAACAATAAGGTTACAAGGCACAACACTCCCACACACAGCACACAATCCGTCCCCTCTGCCTTGGAGATAATTGGATCAGTAACTGTACTAATTCTAATCCAATTATCTCCAAGCACAGAGTTGTTTTTTTGGGGTTTTTTTTAAACACCCCAAAAGAGCATAAAACCCCACAAATGTTACATCCCTTGATAGCTCTGGCCTGAGTGACCAACATATCCAAAAATCACCCAGATCAGTTCAGAGATTCAGGATTTTCCTTGAAGTCATAGTTGTTACCGACCGTACACATGGTCCCATGCCCACAACTGTTCCATAGAATCGCGGCTAAGTGCCACTGGCGACTGACTGGGAACCATGAAATCTTCATGCCGAAAATAGTTCCATAGAATCACAGCTAAGTGCCGCTGGAGGACCGACCGGGAACTGCAAAGTCTTCATGCCAAAAATAGTTCCAGGACATTTGTGGCTAAGTCCCCCTGAAGTCAATTCGCGGTTTTGGTTCATGCGTACGGCCACCAGGGAGCTAGCATTCGGTTCTATAAGTGCCAAACCAGGGGAACTAAAATATAGGTCTTTACAGCCGTTGACTTGACCCGTAGTCTTTTGGCAAGAGGCTAGCTGGCAGGCCCCTCCAAACACCCGTGACGAGGTTACTTTTTTCACAACTATAAATAGGGCAATTACAAGAATTCTCCAAGGTCTCCTTGTAACTGGTCCCGTCCATCCTCCACCTCTTTGGCTGATCAATGTCACGCTGCGCTATTAAGCATCTACTCATAGAGATACATCTCATGGGGAACGTTAAGCGCCCGCATGCAGACTCTGAACACCATTCCTTTACACTGTGCAGCATTGAGATAGAAAGCATCTCTAGTAACCATCTGTGTGACTGCCTCTGGAAGTGACCCTAGGCTGTAATGTAAAGACTTTTTCTCTGAAAAAAACCGTGTTTACTTGAAAATGCTTATGGGGGGACATGCTATACTCACCAGAACAATAACCCTGAGCTATAGTGGATCTGGTGACACTGTCCCTTTAACTCCTAAATTAGAATTTTATAGAGAAATCTGTAAACCAAAACTGCTTCACTGATTAAGCCAAAGTTGTTTTGGTGAATATAGCGTCCCCTTTCATTCACTAAACCTGAAACTGTGACACAGTAACAGGGACCGACAGTTTTTAATCCTAAATCTTACTAAGTGACAGCAAGTCACGGCGCGCGCCCAGCTCCCCCGATTCTCCCGCCACACGGACGCACGCGCAGGCGAGCCTCATCCCTGCCCAGGATTCCATGCAAGTAGTGCGCGCACACGTGTGGACGTGGCGATCTCCAACCAACCCAAGGACAGCAGCCGCCCCCCAAACGGCCTCCGAGCCAATCAGCGTCAAGCAGCCAGCGAGGCCGCATTAGAGGCACTGTATCGAAGGGCTGCACAGAGAACAGGAAGCCACGCCCACTCAGACACTTTGCTGCCGCTTCCGGTGTCGGCGTGTTAAGGGAAGTCGGGCGGAGCCGAGTGTAGAGAGTAAGGTAACGGTTTATGGGGTATATGGTGTTTATGGTGTATATTGGACTTTCTGTCACAGTATTCAGTGTGTGCATACAGTCCCGGGCTGTAACAGTGTAATGGGCTGGGATAGCCAGCATCAATGGGATATGACGGGCGGTGTAAATATAACATGATTACCGGGAGGAATAGATCTTCCTCTCAGACATATTGTAATGACGGCATGACCAGCTCACCTTCACTCCCACTGTGGACACTGAGTGTCTGGTGACTTTTGGTTTCTGGAGTTGTCCCATTATATGGCATTCCTATTACCAACTTCATCCAAAGGGCATGCCGGTCCCTTGTGGAGGAGGGCACGCTGGTCACTTGTGGATGAAGGGGGGGGCACGCCGGTCACTTGTGGATGGAGGGGGGGGCACGCCGGTCACTTGTGGATGGAAACACGCCGGTCACTTGTAGATGATGGAGAACACGCCCCGGTCCACTTGTATGAATGAGACACGCTTGATCACTTGTGGATGATGGAGAGCCGCGCGGTCACTATGTGGATGGAGAACACGCCCGGTCACTTTAATGTGAATGGAGAACGCGCCCAGTCCACTTGTGGATGATGGAAGTACCGGTCGCAATGAATGGAGAACGCGGTCACTTGTAGATGGAGAGCCTAACGCCCGGTCACTTGTGGATGGAGAGCACGCGGTCACCCAATAGATGGAGAACGCGGTCACTTGTGGATGGAGGGGGAGCCGCGCCCCGGTCCTTGTAGGTGGAGAACGCGCCCGGTCGCGTAAGGTGGAGGGCCGCGCGGTCACTTGTGGGTGGAGAGACGCCCGGTCCCGTGTGGATGGAGGCCGCATGAGTCCGTGTGGATGGAGGGAGAACCGCGGTCACGTGTGGATGGAGGGAGGGAGCCGCGCCCGGTCACGTGTGGATGGAGGGGAGGGGGGGGGCACGCCGGTCACGTGTGGATGAAGGGGAGGGGGGGCACGCCGGTCACGTGTGGATGGAGGGGGGACAGGCCGTTCGCTGTTAACTGTTTATCCCAGTTGCGTGAATGTGAGGTTTTTGATTTGACTTTTTATTTTTTAATCTTCGAGCTGTGAGTTCCATGGTAAATTGAAAAGTTACACATATATAAAATTTTTTATTTTTTTCATAATCTTGTTTAGGTACATATTTTTTTTAAGGTACTTTTAAAGGTAACTTATGTGCATGTTATCCGTTTTATTTTGATTGTCTGTGTGTGTCTCTCGACATTTTACCTAATGACTATTACATATATTCAGGGCTTGATGCAGATTAGCTACATAGAAAAGTTCACTTGTGTCTCACTTGACATGTTCAGGGTTACATACTAAACTCCAAATTTTTGTAAATATAATGCAAATTGCAAAACTGATTAGAAAAAATAAGCCACAATGTGTGGTTTATATTGGATATGTTTTTAGTTTGGATTGGAGGCTATATACAGGTGACACTCAAACAATTAGAATATCGTGCAAAGTTCATTTATTTCAGTAATGCAACGTAAAAGGGGAAACTAATATATGAGATAGGCGCATTACATGCAAAACAAGGTAGTTCAAGCCGTGATTTGTCATAAGTGCGATGATTATGGCTTACAGTTCATGAAAACCCCAGTTCAGATTTCAGAGGATTCCAGGTGATGTAAGGATGCCACAAGAACACCTGTGTAGCTACCACATGATTTACATGAACTGATATCGATTTATAGAGAATACAAGTTCATATAAATTGTGCTTGCCAAATTGCACTAAATGTATAGGCAAAAAAATGTATTACACAATTTTTTTTATTTCACAGAATACCAAAAATTAAAATAGGGGAGTGGTGGTGCTCTCAACCTATCATTTGGACAGAATAATCACGATAGATAATAATAGTATACTTTAAGCATTATAAGTGCTGTTTAATTAGGTAAGAGTTATGAATGCCAGGGAAAGCACTCTCCAAAACAGATTGACCTTAAAAATAAATAAATGATTTGACTTATAGCACCATATCCACTACAACGAGCTGTAGTGGATATAGCTTAGTGTTCCCATCAAGAGAAGCAGTTACAAATATGTATTAATAGCATTCGAGTGTTTCAGGCCATTTAGATTGTTGGCACCCTCAATAGAATGTAAAACCAAAAAGAAACTTGTCTTAAACTAACACTTTTTTTGATTGGAAAAAAACTTAATATAACATGTATTTGAAGCAATGATAGGAAGCCTTAGACAGAATAGTGTAATTGATCTTACAATATTTCACACAAGGCCTAAAATGTTAGTATGAAAGCAACAATGTGATTTGTAGGTGTGGCAAACTAGGACACTGCTTTTCTGCAGAAAATTATTCAGGGCCCTACTGCATGTGCTGCGCCAGTAGGCTTTGGCACATAGAGCAGCATTAAGGTGCTTCTCTATGGAGAGACTTAAAGGGATGCTATAGGCACCCAGACCACTTCATCTCATTGATGTGGTCTCGGTGCAGTGTCCATGTTCCCCTGAGTCATTAAATGTAAAACATTGCAGGTTTAGTGAAAATTGGGGAACCAGCAGAAGTTACAGTACTAAGACTGCCTCTAGTGGCTGTGTACCAGACAGCCGCTGGGGGCGCTTCCTGGAGTTTCAGAGAGTTTGGCTCTGTGAAATGCTTTGCTTTGCACGAGGATGTCCAGTGTCAGAGAAAATCCCAAAGGAGAGCATTGAGGCAATGCTTTCCTATGGGGAATGACTAATGCGCGTGCCACTTGTTGCACATGCGCATTAGATCCCCTTTTTGGATGACACCGGAGGAGGCGAAGCGTGAACCAGCGATGGAATCGGGTAAGTGAATAAAGGGTCGTTTAACCCTTTGCAACTAGCGGGGACCCAGAGGAGGTGCCGCAGGGGCTGAGTAAGGCATTAGTGTTAGAAATACATCTTTGTTTTCCTAATACTATAGTGTTAATTTAATCCTGCAATGTAAAGCATAGGGAAAACTTCATTGTTTGCCTCTACCAGACAGCCACTAGAGGCACTTTCTGTTGTTTAACTGAGCTTAACTCCTCAGGCATTTATTTCTACCACAAATCCCTTCCTTCTGTGTGTCTCACCCCCCAGCCCTTCTGTGTGTCTCACCCCCCAGCCCTCCTGTGTGTCTCACCCCCCAGCCCTCCTGTGTGTCTCACCCCCCAGCCCTTCTGTGTGTCTCACCCCCCAGCCCTTCTGTGTGTCTCACCCCCCAGCCCTTCTGTGTGTCTCACCCCAGCCCTTCTGTGTGTCTCACCCCAGCTCCTTCTTGTGTGTCTCACTCCCAGCCCTTCTGTGTGTCTCACCCCCACACCCCAGCCTTCTGTGTGTGTCTCCCCCAGCCCTTCTGTGTGTCTCACCCCCCAGCCCTTCTGTGTGTCTCACCCCCCAGCCCTTCTGTGTCTGTTCATCCCCGCAGCCATTCTGTGTGCCTCTTTATCTCCCCCAGCCCCTTTGTGTATCTTTCTCCCACAGCCAATTTGTGCATCTGTTTCTCCACCAACTCCTTTGTGTCTTTTTTTTTTTTCCCTTCCCCAGTCCCTCTGTCTCTTTGCCCCCCCCAAGTGCGTCTATGTTCCTTTGTCCCACCATCCATTCTGTGTGTGTGTGTGTGTGCCCCTCAGGCCCGCCGTGTGCCCCTCGGGCCCGCCGTGTGCCCCTCGGGCCCGCCGTGTGCCCCTCGGGCCCGCTTCTTTTAGACCCTCCCCTTACTGTGCCCTCTTAGCCCACTCTGCGTCTGTGCCCCTCAGCCCCTCTTTGTCTCTTTAGCCACCTCCTCACCTATGCCCTCGTTTGCCCCTCGCCTCCTGTGGCCTTAAGTTATGTAGCCCCCTTCCCACCCTTCCCTGTGTGTGCTCACCTTCAAGCCCAGACAGCCTTCCAGGAGCTCTAAGGGCCTTCAGGCAGGAGGCGGGGCTTAAACCGAAGGCTGTGCCTTCTCCCCTTATGTAACCCCCTTCCTGTGCCATTTTAGACCTCTCCCTCCTGTGCCCTTATGTATCCCCCCTCCCACCCTTCCCTGTGTGTGCTCACCTTTCAGCCCAGCCAGCCTTCCAGGAGCTCTGAGGGCCTTCAGGCAGGAGGTGGAGCTTAAACCAAAGGGTGGGACTTAGCTAGAGGGGCGGAGCCTACCGCTGCAATGCCCTTCTGCGCATAGGATCAGCTATGCATGGCAGAGTTTAATAAGGGGTGAGCTTCGTCAGCCAAAACCTCAGAGAATTAGCTGAGGTGCGTTTGTGTGTCCGTGCTGTGTAGAAATGTACAGTTTATACTGTTATCTTGGCAGGCCAGCTGCAAGGCAAGCATCCTGGCTTCCACTCAACTGGTCTGCATAACAGCTACGGTCTGCATAACGGATACTCTCTGCCTGGCTCAGACAGACGCATTCCACCGCTTCCCTGCCTTTATTTTCCCGGTGCTTAGTTTTATTACTTTTTTCACGTGTACTTGATTAAGAAAAGAGTGTCCGGGGCAGGGAGCTGCCTGGGAATCCAATCCACTGTTTTCTACTATAATGGTGGGAAACGGCACAGCCACGAGCTGGAAGGGTTGAGTTGAGGTAACTGGACTCCAGTACTCTAGAGGTTGGGAGTATTGAGTGTTCTAGAATGACAAACAGACTGCATGTAACAACTTCTTCTGCATTCCGTTCCCACCACATAGGAAATATTACAGCAACAGTTACTCAGAGTTGTGTTAACTCTTCAAGGCCTTCATTATGTAGATAAATGCACTTTCCCTTTTGACATTTTTTTTTTTTTTTTAAACCTGTTTAATGTACCACACACGGGGGAGGGGAAGTGTAATTTTCAGCAGGTTTGACCTGTTTTCTGCCAAAATGGGAAAGGCCCGTTTTCTACTGAAATTTCCGTGCATCCTACTGCAAAGATCTGATACAGGTTTCCTTCTAATGTTGTGTAGTGGGCTGATGAAGGTATAGTTAAGAATACGGTATGCTGACTATGGATCTCTTCCCCCAGGTCTTTACATGTAGTAGTGTTAAAAGATGAATATGATTATGGAAGCTTTAAATCCCTATCCTGGTTCCCCAGTAGGGACAATGGCTGTATTGTTTGATGGCAATGTAAAGATTCTTTATAAACCCTTGTTGTACTTTATCTAAAAGATGAAAATCGCCTCATCCTAGAAATCTTATGCATGTAATGCTTTCTTTTAAGGTTCATCACTTGAGTAATGGATCTTCGACAGCTGTTGTTTTGCCTCTGTTTGTGGGTGGCATGTACTCTGAGCAAGCCCACTGAGAAAAAGGAGCGTGTCCACCATGACCCTCAGCTAAGTGAGAAAATGCATGATGATGCCCAAAACTTTGACTATGACCATGATGCCTTTCTTGGAGCCGAAGAGGCAAAAACGTTCGACCAGCTAACTCCGGAAGAAAGCAAGGAGAGATTGGGGTATGCAATTCATTGTAAAAGATCTTTTAGATAAGTAAATAAATTGTACTCTTCTATTATGTAACAAGCCAGGGAATGCACTATTGTTGCCACTAATGAGCAGTTCAAATCCACTGGTGGTTAGTTGATTGATCTGCAAATACTACATGTTGGCAATTTACCTGTGTTAACATCCTTTCATAGGCTTTAATGCGTATGTCTTGTAAGTGATGTTTGTTCTTGTAAATTCTTATTGGCAACTAGTAAAAGTGAGAGGAATAATCAAGCTTAGCAAATAGCAACTTGGTGATCTAATAATATTGGTTCACAGAGGCCGGGCTTGACAAATTTACTTGGAATCTAGGAGGCAGCATAAAAAAAAAGTTAGGAGACCGTTTTTCTTTTTTTTTTTTTTTTTTTTCCAGCTAACAAAGATTTATTCTTAATGACAAAAATACAATTCTTAAAGGTTCACTCTAGTCACCAGAAACACTACAGCTTAATGTAGTGGTTCTGGTGTCCTATAGCATGTCCGAATCAGGTATCATTCTGTTCACTCCTAAATAGCACACACTTAATTGTGAAAATCCTGATTTTGTTTTGGATGTCTTGCATTCTTGTCTTTTAACTAATCATGTCACATTGTGCCTGCTGAATACTGCTTAGTCTAATTGTTCTGGTTCTACTTCTGCGTAGCTTTCTTCTTTTGGGCCTGGGCTGTTTAGAAAAGGATGAGCACACTAGATGAACAAATTTGGCATTCATGCTCAATTAAAAGGTTTCATTCTAGATCTCATTTAGTATTTCGGACATTTAATAACCTGAAAACTGTGTGACCGCTAAAGCAATGGAATATTTACAGGATAATTTAAAACCTCGCAATACTTTCTCTTTAATCCAGGAGTTGCTAAAAGCCTGTAGAATTTAGTAGAAATTAAGTTTTATCCATATGTCTATTTTCTGAAAGTTTACTAGTGTACAATTAATAAAACTATCTTAATAACCTAGTAAAGTGTGCTGAGTAATTGTATGTGTCATCGGTTCACATTTCCTGTGATAACGTTTCATGCTCGAGTGTGATTACCATCGTTACATGTAGCATTGTCATTGGACAGGATGACATCGAATATTACCAATCTTTTATTTGTTTAGGTAAAATTCTAGACACTGTAATTTGTGTAAAAAGTAAAAAAAAAAAGAGACATGGCTCTCCAGGATTTGACAGTCTCAGTTTTAAACAATGTATTTTTTTTAACCTTATAAATGTATTACTGATGAGACACTAGTTGTTGTCCTTGGAATTTCTTCATAATCATAAGATGATTACATGTATATTGTGTGACATCTTTATATGAAATTCCTATATGTACACACATATAAGTCAATATGTATTTTAGAAAGAGATTTCATTATGCTTTTGACTGTAGACATTAGTTCATTGACTGCTACTAATGCTTCTATACATCTGGGAATATTTATATGTAAATATAAATTATATACATTTGTGTGTTTATTTCACACTATTGATGATCTTTATGATCCTCTTGTTTCCAGCCTAATCTGCTATAAACCTCTACAATTTCCCCCTTATTTTCACCCTGTTTTTTCTTTCTCTGTTGGTTGCCAACCTTGACCTCACAGAAAGATTGTTGGTAAGATAGATGCAGACAGTGACGGGCTTGTAACAGTGGAGGAACTAAGGGATTGGATAAAATTTGCCCAGAAGCGGTGGATTTACGAGGACGTAGAACGACAGTGGAAGGGCCACGATCTCAATGGGGACAACCTGGTGTCCTGGGAGGAATATAAAAATGCCACCTACGGTTACATCCTTGGTAGGTGTCCTGTATCCCTTTACCATCTTCATTCCTCCCATTTTTTCTTTATAGAATCATTGTAAGTAAAATAGACTTGGATAAAGATGGGTTTGTGACGGAGGGGGAGCTGACTGCGTGGATCAAGAAGGCGCAAAAGAAGTATATCTATGACAACGTTCAGCGCCAGTGGCATGAGTTTGACATTAACCAGGATGGACTTATATCATGGGACGAGTACAGAAACGTCACCTATGGCACTTACTTGGGTAAGGGAGGAGTCTGCAAAGACAACGATGGAAAACTCTTGAGTGCCTGGTTGACGTGGCTTAAGTTTTTTGTTTTTCTCCCTCCCAAATTTTACGAGATGCTGCCAAAGTATAATCATTTTGTTGTTTTTTTCATTGTAGAGTGCAATTGTAGAATATAAAGGCAAATATTTCTATCTACAAGATGTGTAAATGTACTTATGTTTTGGCGCCTGCACAAGAATTCCATAACTCCTAAAACTAAGCTGCTAAAACATAGGGGATACTCTAACCACCAAAACAACTTAAGCTTAATAGAGCAGTTTTGGTCGAATTTTTAAAGTGACTTTCGTATTAAGGCCAAAGCAGATGAGAAGTCTTTTAGTTCAGCTATTTTAATCTTAAAGGAACACAAACCAGTATTCCTGACACTATAGTGTTGGCCCACTGCCTCCCTGACCTCCGGTTAGAAAGGTGATTTACTCACGATTTTCCAGCTCTGCACGGGTCTTGTTGCGGTTGGCCCCGCTCCCTTGACTGAAATCATTAAATTTGATATCAGCCAATAAACATCTCCTCATAGAGATGCATTGACTCAGTGCATCTCTATGGGAAAAGTTTGGTGATTCCATGCAGAGCGTGGAGACGCTGAACGTCGATGCTGCACATTGTGCAGCACTGACCAAGGATGTACCTCTAGTGGCTGTCTGAGTGATTACCACTGGAGGTGTCCCTAGGCAGTAATGTAACCACTGCCTTTTCTCGGAAAAGGTAGTGTTTTGTTTATTAAAATATTTGCAGGGACAGGCCATACACATCAGAACTACTACATTAAGCTGTAGTTGTTCTGGTGACTATAGTGTACCTTTAAATTTGAAATTCACTTTGAATTTTAACTTTAGCGAATAAGCCTCTTAGTATTGAGATCATGCGCCTACAATCTCTCTGCTCGGTTCCCTTCCATTTTTGGAGTTAAAATATTTATTTTGGTATATGCAGCCTTAGCCACACCTTCCCTGGCTGTGACTCCTATAGCCTCCATTAAAACATTTGTTTCATTTTCAATCAAATGATGACATTGCAATGTGCTTACTTTAGAAGTTTGTACCTCCTGTTGTGTTAATTGAACTTTAATCACACACGAGGCTCCTGCAGACTATTAACAGAGCAGGAGCTAATGAATTCTAATTTAAGCATAGTGTGCAAGAAAGGAAGTTTAAACATCAGATCTCCTTTTAAAGGAATTGTCTAGGGGAAATTGTTTAGGTTACCGTCGGGGGATGTGTGACTAGGGCTGCATAAATAAAGTGATTTAGCTCCTAAACGATAGATAATTGAACAGTAAAGCTGCAGTGGTGTGATCTATACTCCAAAAACTCTCCATTCTGCTAAAATTGTTTTGGTGCTTATCGTATCCCTTTATGAATCATTTTGTAAATGTACAGGTTTTGAATTTACAGATGTATGTACCTTAAAGATAGTTTGTTTTAAATCAGGATATTAATTTCAAATATATGGAACATCTAGACCGTAAAGCAACAAAAAACGATGGAGCCATATTTCAGAAACTTTAGTGATTCAATATCTTCAGTTACATGTGATTCCACAAAGTAGAGAATTGCTATTACAAGTTCTAGAATAGCTTAATTTCCACACTGAAAGCTTCAAAAGTAACATTTCCAGAGAACGAATAAAAGGATAGTGAGTGATTCCTGCATTTGTGTATCTGTTTGATATCTCCTTGTAGTATGAGTTTGTTCCTATATTGAGTGTATATATATATATATATACATGTTTTGTTGTGAGCTGTCTTTAATGCAGCTTGTGTAAGCATTGTGTGTTGTCTGTATCACTAAAGCATACGCCAGCACCACAGATAGTAGTTCATATACAGAATTCATAACATAGAGTTCTTGATGGTGGATGGACACTGGAAAAAGAGTAACAATGTAGTGTTGCGTATATAGTTTGTTTAATAATACAATGTCAGGCGTTGCTTCCTGTAAAATATACTTAAGCCTCTGATTAATACTCTTTTGCCCCTTAGATGATCCCGATCCAGACAACAGCTTCAACTACAAGCAAATGATGATGAGAGATGAGAGGCGCTTTAAAATGGCTGACCAGGATGGTGATCTTATTACCACAAAAGAGGAGTTCACTGCATTCCTTCACCCAGAGGAGTATGATTACATGAAGGACATTGTGGTTCTGGTGAGTTTTTCTTAGGGGAAAGGTCTCTGTCCATCACTAGGGCTGTGCAAAGTATTCTCACATCTTTGCTTACCTATTGCATTTCACTATCCTCTTATTTTGTAGAAGGGATAAATGGAGTGAATTGAACTGTTAAAAATTCCCCCACAAGGATGTCCTGATATGTATGAGCACATCTCTGTCCATGACTAAAAGCTGAAACTGAAAGATATAATGTGGAACTGTTAAATTTCCTTCTATATATTGCCCATATCTGTTAAATGTATTCTATTTTTGCTGATTGCTTCTATGTGCATTGAGATCATAACATGTAGTTTCTTTGTTATATATGTTTCCGCAAGGTCTAGATTTCAGACTTGTCCTGCGTTTTTAAGACGTTGTCGTGGTTGAATATAGCACAGTTATATTTTTTACTCCATGTGATCTTATAAATGTTATTTAAAGCGACACTGTAGTCACCAGAACTACAGTTTAACGTAGTGGTTGTGGTGAGTATAATCATTCCCTTAAGGCATTTTCATGCAAACACTGCCTTTTTCAGAGAAAAGGCAATATTTAAATTGCCCCTAGGGACACCTCCAAGTGACCAGTCCTTAGATGGCCACTGGAGATGCTTCCTGGGGCAGTAGTGCACAGTAGGCAGCACTGCCTTTCAGCGTCTCCAATTTCTGAGACGCTGAATTATCCTCAGAGAGATGCATTGATTCAATGCATCTCTATGAGGAGGAGCTGATTGGCCAAAATAGTGTTTGGCCCTGCCACCATCCCATCTCCATGCCAATTTCAGCCAATCCAATCCTTCCCATATGGAAATAAGGTTTTAGCTCATTCTAAGGGGGCTAAGATGGGAAAAACCACCTAAATACTGTTTTAACACTATAGGGTCAGGAATACATGTTTCTTTAAGTGATCTATACTGTCTATGTATCATAAAATGGTTCTTCTTAATTAGGGTACTACATTTTAGGGATCACATGTGCTTTTACTCATGCTTGTCTTTGTTCTTTCCCCAGGAAACCATGGAAGATATAGATAAAAATGGAGATGGAGTCATAGACCTGGATGAATACATAGGTGAGGGTATAGGTTATTCCTAAAAAGCCATATCAATTGTGTTTGCTGTTTAACGTGACAATTCAAGAACGGTTAATAAAGCTGTGTTGGCAGTGTCTGCTTTGGCAGCATTGGTGTATATGTTATATAGAATTGTTTTTATTTTTAATCTGCAAGTATACAGTTTAAAAATAAAGTGACAGGTGTAATGATGTAGTAACTTTTAGCAATTCTCTCAAGTCTGCAAAACCCCAAACTATTAAGTTAAAAAGAAAATGTTAACCAGTAATGTGGACCCACAGGTGATATGTATAACCATGATGGGGATGCTGATGAACCCGAGTGGGTGAAAACAGAGCGGGAACAGTTTGTGGAGTTCAGAGACAAGAACCGTGATGGTAAAATGGACAAAGAAGAGACCAAGGATTGGATCCTCCCCTCTGACTATGACCATGCAGAAGCTGAAGCACGTCATCTTGTTTATGAGTCTGACCAAAACAAGGTGAATATATCACAGGGTTTTGGGGAATAGGGTGGTATTCAGAAAAATAAGAGTATATGGTTCAGATTGCACTTGTGCAAGAAGTATCCTGTTCCTAGCAATGTTTTTTTTTTTTTTGCTTGATATTCCAAAGTATACATATTATCATAACATCTTATTTTTAGATGACTGTTACTGACCTTGCTCTTCTGTTACCTGTTTTCTTAGGATGGCAAGCTGACACGAGAGGAAATTGTAGATAAATATGATTTATTTGTCGGCAGCCAAGCTACAGATTTTGGAGAGGCGCTCGTTCGACATGATGAATTCTGAGGATGAAGGGGAACCCAGCCATTGTTCCAGTAACTCATAATCCCCTCTTCCATGCTTGAAAAGAGTGGGAGATGCAACATTTTAACTGAGAACAAAAGTAATTTATTGCAAACAGACTTCCCAATCCAAAAGAGTCAAGACTACAAAATTTTTGTTTTTTATAAATGTGATGCCACAACATTTTCTCCAGAATCCTGCCCACTGTGGCACTCTTGCTCAGTTTAGTGATATTTTCACACACACAAAACTGGTAATTCTTGTCAAAATGCACTTTACAGTGCTGGTATCATTGCAGTATGTATTCTGGAAAGGTCAGCGATGACTCCCTTACACAGCAAGGCTGTTTCTCATGAGGCTAATTTGAATGCTGTTGTGTGTTTGTCACTGCTCTCCGTCTTCCAGTAATCCCATGTTTATTGTGTATCTTGGTAATTTTTTTTTTTTGAGAAATGTGTACAATTTATTTTAAACAAGAAATTAGTGATGGGTCTCCTTTGACATGTTGAAGAAACGGTTGTTTTGTAATTAAATGTCCATAATTGTTTGAGGCCTTCAGATTGCCTTATGTATAAATATACTCCTTTCTGTGTATTCCTCAAGTTGTACTGAATGGGGTAATCTGATAGACTGTTTTCTCGGGGAAAGAGTGATGAATTCCAGGTCAATTTGCTGCCTATTTCTACATCTAGTATTTTATTGAATTATGTCAATGTAATCTTTAAGTAATAGCCTAATAGCTCAGTATTGTCACCTACTTCCACCAAGCTTTACAACTCTTTGCATTTATAAGTTTCCTGTATAAACAAGGTGCAATCATCAAATTTTACATTTTATAAATAAGCCTGGTTTCAGGTTGTGGACCTTTTTCATCCTGATTGCACATTGTTTATACATGCTGCATAAGGTGTTATGCAGTGTTGGGCTAGTTGAATACAGGAGGGCTTTAATCCTTTATTTTTTGCTTAGGCTCTATGTTGATAGAAGAAATGTTAGTCATGTTTATATATAACATGATGTTGGTGTAAGACCTCTATTATCATGTCCTCCACTTGACCTAGTTCCTTAAACAGCATTTTTACGAAATATGTAATGCCTCATAGGCCAGTATGTGTTAATGTATGATGAAGGAGCTAGATGGCATTCCTGCCTTTGATTTGAGCGTCATTTTTAAATTTATGTACATTGATTTTTTTTTTTTCTTATCATTCAGCACAATGCTTTAATATAATCATGTTTAACACGGGTGTATAGTTTGTACAAGTGATTATCCTTGAATATATAAGAAGAATCGTTGTATAATGGTAAACCAGGTGCTTCAAAAAATATCTAACATCAATGCTGTGAGCCACATAGGTAAAACTAATTTCTCCTTTTACACTGGGTAACATATGCATGTGATCATGGTACACTGCAGTGGCTAATATTTTAGAATACACCACATGTGTGTGTGGTTTTTTTTTTTTTTGTGTGGCTTTTTTGTCTGTAGATATTGACAGACTTATGGAAAGATACTGAGGTTATTTCCAAGCTGTTTTATACACCAACATTATGGGTTTTATAATTGTGCTCTTCTTAATACCTGAATTATTCTGTTATAGGTAGATGAGTTATTTTAATGAGATGCAAGTTCTTGATAATTTTGGCTTAATCACTCCACACGTGACATATCAGTGTGGTATGGTCCATTTTAAATGTAGCTATAAACCCAACTGTTAACCACCATGGTATCTAGTTTTATATTGTGTGAATCCTTTTGATATACAATATGCCTAAGGTTTTGTGCTTTTTTTTTTCTCCCTGTGTTAATGTTGTCCGTCCTTAAGTGAAAGTTTTGTTCACACTACATTTTAACGAACAAGTACAATTGTTTCTGTATAAAAAGAAATCAGTTGAGCAGTCATTTGTTTTTCTATACATTTTGAAAACCAGAATGCCATCAGAATATTGATATAAAATGTACCAGGAACACTTTGCATGTTAAAATTCTTACACTGCAGCCCAATAATTCTAAAAGGAACATCATTTTGAATGTGCATAGGGATTGTATTTTTTTCTGACCCTTTCTCTGGATAAAAATCATTGAGATAAAGTGAGAACTATAATATACTAGGCACAAGGCCAAAATGCTATAAAGTAACGCCTCATTCATTTCAACTATCAAGTGAGCTATGAGTACACTTGGACATCAGTTCCATGTTTACCTTTGCTGCTGAACCTAAAGGGACACTATAGGCACCCAAACCACTTCAGCTCATTGAAGTGGTCTGGATGCAGTGTTGGTGTCTCACTTAGTCCCGCAATGTAAATCATTGCAGTTTTTATGAGAAACTGCAATAATTACATTGCAGGACAAAGACTGCCTCTAGTGGCTGTCAATCAGACAGCCACTAGATTCACTTCCTGCTTGCTAGGTGACTTTTTTTAGTCACCTAATTGATGCTACATGTCTGCACACTCTACATGAGGACATCCGGTGTCAGAGAACACCCCATAGGAAAGTATTGCAGCAATGCTTTCTTACAGGGAGGGCCTAATGTTCTCATTAGCCCGCTATACACTATAGTATCCTGTTAAGTGAAGGTTTCCGTCTACTCTAATATATTTCATAGAAGAAAATGGGAGTGCTAACTTTACAAATCTTTATTTGTGACTCCCAACATGTTTGTTTTAAGCTCTTAAACTACATGTAGAGCAGGGATGCTCACAAGGTAGATCCCCAAATGTTTTAAAACTACATCTTCCATGATGCTTTGTCACTATAAAGCATTCTAAAGCCATGCAAAGCATCATAGGAATTGCAGTTCTACAACATTTTGGGGATCTACTTTTTGGGCACCCCTGTAAAGCTTAGTGAGTGTCTTTTCTTACATGGGTTATTCAGTAAATCAGAAATTGCCAGGAATTTAATTATAGGTCTATTCCTAAAATTAGCAAATACTTGGTAAGTTTCAAAATGTTTAGTTCTCCTACAAGATATTCTAGGATAATATAAATGTCTTAAGTAAGGGAATTAAACAGCCCATTGTTTAATGGCAAATGCAGTATTACATAAATGGCAGGTTAAGATTTTTTTTAATTTTTTTTTTTTTTTACGTTGCTGTAATGTGGTAGAGCAGTGGGGTAGGCATCTTTTTTCACTACAAATGTTAGCCTACACCTTCCATAATGCTGGCAAAGCATCACAGACGTAGTCGTCCACAATATTAGAAGTGTTGAAGGTTGCTTACCCCTGTTGTAATTTTGATGGGTAGATCAAATGCTAAACATCTGATAAATGTGAGGCAAGAAAAATAAATTGTTTAATGTATTATCCAATATGTTTATGTAAACGATGGAGGTTTAGACCTTCTGATCGTTGCAGGCGTATCTGTGTAGAGTTGCCACTGACTTTGTAGGCTCACACACTACTTTTTTTTTTTCTTTTGGATAAATAACTCTTTTCAAATCTGAACTGCTAAATCCACCCCTGAAAGTTCCTCTTGCTATTTGTATTCCATGTAACACGTTTTTAAACACTACTTGTTTGTTTGTTTTTGTTTTTTTTTGTACAATAATGCGCCTTGGGGTGCACCCAATTAAATGTTTAATAACATTGCTATTGTCTTGTATTTCACTTTTCTAAAAGAAAATGGCTGGAGGTCAGACCAGCTCACAACTAATACAATGTTGACCAAGGGTTATCATGCCACCCTGGAGACTGTTTCCAGCACAGATAAGTCAGTCCAGCCTGTATAGATCCTTGTCTTGCTCAGGAATCAGAAAAGAGGCACATTGCCAGCTTCCCAGTGGAAGGAAAGGCCCCCATCATGTTAGGGGGGGGGAAAGTCAATTTACTATAACATATGTAATTGCAGCATGTGGGGGAGGGCGGGGGGCTTCTGACTAGATTGCATGACTTTCACCCCCAAAAAAGAGAGACATTTAAAGATGTACTAATTGCTTTAGCTCCAGCACACTTCTGTTGCCCCTTGCAATAAGTGCAAATTTTAGAATAAAGTGACTGGTTTTATCAATACAAAGGTGATCAAGGCATCCTTTCCTTCTACTGGTGAGCTAGGATTGTCTTTTTCTCAGATTTTTCTTAACTTAACTGAACTGAACACACAAATTCAAACTAAAAAAATAGGCATACATGCATGCAACAAACTGTCTCACTTAGTCAGCTGTACTTGTTTTTTTTATCAACTGTAAACTGTTACTGCAGTAAAACATACATTTGTATGACTGGTACAACAATGCCCTCCATGTACTGGTTTCATGGTCTTTTATAAAGTTACAGGGTCATATTAAGAGCTTGCCCATTTCATCTTTTACACAGGGTAATTTGCCAGACTGTTTTGCTGGGTTTATGTTTCCTTTGCGGTTGTGCAGCAGCCAGGGAATAAAATTTACCCCTATCATGGCATTTAAAGGAACAGTGTAGGCACCCAGACCACTTCAGCTAATTGTAAAAGTAATCTGGGTGGTGTGTCACTTTTGCACTTAGTGCTGCAATATTTACATTGCAGCTCTAAGTCTGCCCTTTGTGTCTACCAGCAATGCACGTTTAACAGATTTAATAATTATACTTTTACTGCTCTAAAACACTCAAATTTGTGTCCAGCAATGTCTCACACATACAACAATACCCCCCATGTACAGGTTTTATGGTGTTTTTGAAATGTACGGGGTCCGATATAGGGCTTGCAAATTAAATTCTCTTGACTTTCTGTCTGGACCGTCAGGCAGGTCTTTCACATTGTTGTTTAATAAAATCTTTGTCAAGATTTTCTTTATGTAGATTTAGGTTTCATATCCAATGTTTAGTGCCCCTTTTATATTCTGTCGACACCCTTTGTACATCGACTTATAATTTGGACTAGTATTTTTCTTAACTCCAGTTTTATGTTTATTAAGGGTTGCCCTATTTGCCTTCTTATGAAACACTCTCTCCTCTCGGCCAACACCTTAATGGACACAATTGTCCTCGGAATAGATTGCTAGTGATAGCTCTATTCCTTTAAGATCCCATGACTGCACGAGTCTGATGCCTTATAGCCCCATTGGGACAAGGCACCCCACGGGTTAATTCCCTGTTAGGGTACTTGTCCGTTGGGACTAAGCAACCAATGGGATGCCGATACGTCCTTGGGGGGCGTGTTGCATGCTTCCCGTCATTGTTTGGTGGGAATCGCTGACCTACGCCCCCAGTTCCTATTGGCTACTGATCCATTTAAACGTCAGATGAACCAGTGTACATTTAGAGATTATTGCCTCTGACGAAGGCGCTCGTGGAAGCGATGAAACGCGTCTCAGGCTTATTCTAGGCAGGCCTCAGCTCATCTATTTGCTACGTTCATTTATTAATTTATTTTTTCTCCTTAGGACGGGGACTATTAGGGGGCTTGGTATGGGGTATTGTATTGAGTCAGTATATCGTCTCAGCAGGGCGGCATTATTTTTAGGACTGGGTCAGTTAGTCTAGCGATATAGGAGGTAGTTCAGGAGGTGAAGGTCATAAACCCAGTACTCCGCCGGCATACCTCCACGCTTTACTTTTGGCACGAAGTCCAATTTACAGCCAGTACTTCCTAGCGGTGTATTAGGCAGCTAGCCTTCAGTTCTGTATTTTTTTTTTTGTTACTGTAGTATCAGTTCAGGGGGGTGAGTGCCGATGTGTATTCTTAATTTTCCTGTGGTAACTAGATTTTAGCAACATAGTTGCCTTCGCAGGCTCCAGCCCCACGGTAGTTAGATCCGTTTCCACTCAGCCAGATACTATGTATGTTACTTCTAGCAGAACTATTGTATTATACGCTCTAAAGTACAAGATCTGCGAGATTCAATCTGTACAATATCCACACAGGCCACTCTTTTGAGCGGCTATTTAGCAGCTTCAAGGGGGTTATACCCGCACTCCCTATTGTTGTGTCCCCAGAGATACATGGTGTAGCATACGAGCTGCCCTTTGAGAGACCAGTGTGTTTTCCTTGACCATTTAGTTGTACTACTTTTCAGCTTTAGTTGCTGATCCAGTAGGGGTCTCTAACCTGCCATGTGATTTAATCATTACTTATTATTTTTTCTCTTTTTTTTGTTTTTATCACTTATTTGCTTTTGGGTATGAATCTATTACCTCTGATTTTAATGATTTAATAAGTTAAAATTATAATTTTTTATACAGTTAGTAGTGGCAATCTAACAACGGTCCATATGGCTTTATGCTCCTGAGGTCTTTCCTATATTGTTCACAGCACATAAGTGAGGGTTACCCCCTATATGTTTATCCACAGACACACTAAGAGTTCCCCTTAGGGGTCCCTTGTTTTCGTTTGTTTAATAAAATCACATTATGTAAAAATGAGATGTGTGTGTGTGTGTGTGTGTGTGTATATTTGTGGTTGGAATTTAATAGATTATGGAATGGGGTAGGTGGTGTAAAGTAGGTAGAGTTGTGCTAAAACCAACAAACGAGTAGGCCTGTAATGAGGGCAAAAAGAATAATGAAAAAACACACTTTATCACCCCTGAGCGGCAGGTGGGGGCCCTAAATACCAATTAGGGTGGGGACCTATTGTCCTCCCCCTAGCCCCCACCCCTGAGCGGCAGGTGGGGGCCCTAAATACCAATAAGGGGGGGTCTATTGTCCTCACCCCTGAGTGGTAGGTGGGGGCCCTAAATTAGAATAAGGGGGGGTACCTATTGTCCTCCCCTGTCCCGCACCCCTGAGCGCTGGGTGGGGGCCTTAAATACCAATAAGGGGGGGACCCTAAATAAAAATGTATCCCCCCCCGGGTGACTAGGGGTCCCCAAACCCCTAGTCACCCCCCTCCCAACAAAATTAACCCCTACCTACCCCCTCACCCTAACAATAGTGAGGGAAGACCAATAAATAGGTACCTGTAAAAAATTTTTATTAAACTTACCATTTTATGTCTTCTTTTTTTCTAATATCTTTTTTTTTTTTCAGCCCCAAAAAAGGCCAAATAAAAATCCATAATAACCATTGCCCTTTGAAAAAGGTGGAACCAACCCAGGGAGACACAGCAACCATACTAGCAAAGCTGGCAGAATTAAAAGTATACCTGGCTGGGGAAATGGAGCGGTCCACGGCAGAGCTGCAGGCGCTTTGCGCCAGAACGGTGCAGCTAGAGGAGCGAATGGGGGAGACTGTGCGGGCGCATAACGAGGTGGTGACACAAGTAAACACTCTCACCACGCGCCTATATGAAGTTGATTTGGCGCTGGAGGATGCAGCAAACAGATCCCGGTGAAATAATCTGCGGGTCCAGGGGCTGCCTGAAAGAGAGGGAGAGGGACCCGTGGCAGACCTCCTCCTCACCATCTTTAAGCCGATCCTGCCAGAGATCCCAAACAGCCAGTGGCAGCTTGAGAGGGCGCACCGGGCACTAAGGACCAGGCGCCCCGACGGGAACGCGCCCAGAGACATCATTGTCCGCTTTTTGCACTATACCACCAAAGAAGCCCTGCTGCGCAAAGGAAGAGATACGGCGATTAAGTATGGAGGAGCCACCATTGCCCTGTATCAGGATCTGGCGCCCAGCACAATCCAGCGCCGGCGGGAGTGGAAGCCTATTACGGAGGCCCTACGTTGGGCTAGCATAAACTATGCATGGGGCTTCCCCTTCCGTCTCATGGCGTTTAAAGACGGCTGGGTGCATGTGCTACTGCCAGCGGGAGACCCTAGGTGTCTCTTTGCTGATTTGGGACTGGCGCCCCCTTTGAATATTCAGACGGTGCCGATGCCCATGGAGGAGTTGCGGCACCTGCCAAGTGAGTGGCGGGCAGCAGGAACCGGAGGCCACTGAGGCCAGAAAAGGATGCCGTTTACCAGGAGACCACCACTCACGTACGGTAGACATGCCGGGCGGTATGTTGAAGCCGGGTACTGGACATAGGCATAGGTAGGGGGGGAGGCTGTGGGTGAGAGAGTTACCCTATTGGGGGGAGGGTATGCACCTGCTGGAGGGATAAGGCACTAGGTGGGGAGGGCCAGGGGGGATGGGAAGGGAGGACTGGGATCTAAGTCCCCGAGGAGGGAAGGCTACCCTGGACTGTGCAAATCCACTGGACTGTGGGGCTGAGGACGCTCTGAGTGCATTTTGCGGATGGACAAGAGGGGAACCCCAGTTATGGGGGATAGAGTATGGGGGCTTCCTGGGTAGAGGGAGACCCTGAGGCGGGATGGCAGGGGGTACCACAAGGCCCCGTTGCATGGGGACGGGGGGAAGCAAGGCCCAGGTGTCCCTCACGCCCATGGAGGCAGAGGGCTATAAACCTCCCCGCGGTGTGCACGCTGTAGCTACTCGTACCGAGAGGCGGAGGGATAAGGAGTGAGCCGGGAGAGGAGGGCCTCCCACATGGCGGCTGGGGGACACGGAGGGAGGTCTCGAGGGCATAGGGCCCAGGGAAGCGGCTGGACTTAGCAACCTGTTGGGTGCGAGTCTGGAGGCACTAGCCCGGGGAGACGGATCAGGGGAGGGGCAGAGGGGACTGCTCAAGGGACTTTAGGATGGTGGGGATCAGGCGGAGAAGATGGGTTCGACATGGACGGCCCGCAGGCCCTAGGGGAGCAGCACAGGAATCAGGGAGGATGGGGGCTGAGCAGAGGCAGAGGGGGGTAGAGGACAGGTGGTACTTAAGATATGTAGAGGATGGGTAACGCTCCTGGAGAGCGTATTAATCTGGGGAGTAGCGGATGGGTAACCTGGAATTAGCCTCCCCCTGTATTGGTCATTTTGAAAAGGAAGCCTAGAGAGTGAGGATGGGAAGGGTATGCGATATCCAGGGCTCGGGATAGGCCCGAGGGAGAGGAAGTTGGAGCCGATAGGTGAAGATAGATATCTGGGGGTTATAGTTGTTAATAGAGAATGGGTATAATCGGGATAGGGTGTTACACAATCGATCACACTAGTAATTTCCAATAGCATTACAGCGTTAAACGGGTTTAGGTACATGGTCCCACGACGCTCGCGGACACAGTGCGCGGGTGACTACAGGGATCGTACTCCCCAATCACACCTGGCGATTAGTAAGACCAGGGGTTCTGTTTTGTGCCTACCAGTGCGAAATATGAGCATATTACCTAATTCTTCCTTTTTCGTTTTCTCTCTTTTTCTCTCTACTTCTTCGGGGCGGGAGAGGTGGGGGGGGTCCCGGGGGGACAGGAGGGGACTTCTCCCATAGCATGGGTCTTGGAAGGTTATCATGACGGTTAAACTTACTTCGCTGAATGTGAGGGGCCTTAACGCCCCAACCAAACGGCGTCTGCTCTTTCGAGAGCTGAAGAGAACAAAAGCTGATATCGCTTTTATTCAGGAGACCCATCTCCCCAAACTGGGACGCTTCTCTCTGAGGGATCATACCTATTCGGTCTCGTATGAGGCCAGAGCTCACCGGAAGCGCAATGGGGTGGCCATCCTAGTGCGCAGTAGCTGCCCATTGCAGGTTACTGGGACGGAGGCAGACGGAGAGGGACGCTATATCATTGTGTCAGGAGTGCTTTATTCCCATACCCTCCACTTGGTGAACGTGTACGCTCCAAATTGTCCAGACCCGGACTTCTGGACAACTTTGGGAGATAAGCTCCGGAAGCTACCGAGGGGCATGATTATTGTAGGAGGGGATTTTATTGAAACGCCGAGCTCGGCAGTAGACAGAAGTACCCACAAGGGTGTGCCCCGGTCGCAGGGCAGGGGGGGACAGGATAAACTGCTACAGGAGTTTATCACAGGTTCAGGTTTAGTGGATATTTGGAGGGCCCACCACCCGAGTGCGGTTGACTATACTTATTACTCGGCCCCACATGGCACCTATTCCCGGATCGATTTCTTTTTAGTCAATGGTAGTTGCCTCGCACGGACCACGGACTCGACGATAGGGACCATTACGTGGTCTGATCATGCTGAGGTTACAATAACCATGGGGAATTTATGTGCAGCGACCCCTTGGACGTGGAGGCTTAATACCTCATTACTGCGGGACCCCACGATTACGGAACAACTACATAATGAGATAGTGGAGTTCTTTAAGGTAAATGACACACCTGGGCAGCCCACAAGGCGGTAGTAAGGGGAACCCTTATACGCATAGCAACAAGACGGAAAAAATCAAAAACACAAACCCTAGAGAGGCTCCTTAAGGATTTGAAGGGCGCAGAGCAGAGACACCAGACGCATCCCACAGGAGACACATTGAGAAGAGTATAGACTATTAGACACGAAATACGAACCCTGTTGTTAGACGATGTAGCTAGGTCCCTGACGTGGACTAAACGATTTTACTATGAAAAAAGTAATAAAATGGACACTATGTTAGCCAGGACTCTGCGGCCTCGGCACATCACCTCCATCCGACATGCTGACGGGTCATTGAGGACTATGCCTAGGGAGATAGCAGAAGTCTTTAGGGACTTCTATCGGACATTATATAATCACACGCCCGCGGACGTGCCCAGGAGGTGGGCAGCATCGACAGATTTCTAGTTGGCTTGGGGCTACCGAAGCTACCGGGAGGGGTCGGGGCACAACTGGCAGCTGACATAACGGACGAGGAGGTGGACAAGGCGATCGGGGGGTTGGGGGGAAATAGGGCCCCAGGACCGGATGGGTTTGATGGCACCTATTATAAGACATTTAGGGAGGAACTGGTGCCCCATATGCGAAAACTTTTTAATCATTTTCGGAATGGGGGCACACCGACCCCGGACATGACCTTATCTTCAGTGGTCCTGCTACCTAAACCGGATAAGGACCCGCTGATGCCGGAGAGCTATAGGCACATTTCCCTTATAAACCAGGACATAAAGATCCTAGCTAAGATAATGGCCGAGCGACTCTCCCCATACTTGACACATCTTATTAACCCTGACCAAGTGGGTTTCATCCGTGGCCGTCAATTGTTAGAAAATACCCGTAGAAATATTGATCTCATCTGGAAACAAACGACGACGAACACGCCCACTCTG